CCTCAGTCATGTGCTTATTTTTCTGCTGTGGACATTGACCATGTGTTGCGCAAAGAAGTGGACATGGAGTGCGTCACACCGAGCCACCCAACTCCTATTTCCCCTGGAGAAAGTATCGATATTAGCACACTTCTGGAGAAGGGAGAAATTGCAAGGCTGGATCCTGATATCGTTCCGGATGCAAAGTATGCTCCCAAACTAGATCAGATCGATTATACCCCCCGAGTGCCTATTATGCAGGGTATTCAGGAGTCAGCGCAAGAGTCAATCCCCTTCCTCAAGGCCCAAATCGTCAGTGACGACACGGAACTTCGAGAGATTGTCAAAGACGTCCAGAAAGCCAAACTCGCTGCAGCGCCGAAGAAAGACAAGCCGTTGAGCAGGAGAGAATTGCAAAGCGTGTTGCCTTACAGAGCATACCCAAGACTAGTCCCCATGGACGAGCCTGTCTCTGTATCTGAGGCCCTGAAAGTCAAACCCAATGCCTACGAGAGCAGAAAAATGACGTGGCCGAAATACTCCGGCAAGAGCTGGAGCCAAAACTCGAGGATGTAAACCCACCCACGCCCTCAAGGCAACTCAGGAGGGCGTAGTTGTATATTTCTTTTGTACACTTTGTTTGGCGATGTATTATAGTTACTCACGTGGAGACGTCTATTTCGTTGTATGAATATGTATGATTGCATCTAGGTCTGGTGTTTAGTGTTGGTTGGGGGTCTGGGGATGGGTTTCGGGGGCGTTAAAGCGAAAACGAAAAGGTCGGGGGCTGCTGTCTTATGTATATTTGCAAACCATATAATAACTCTTTGTGTTATCCTTTGATTGACATATTGGTTGATGCCATGGATTGCTTTACTGGAACGTTGCTTCGCCATGTTTATCGATTGCTGACAACTCATGTCGAAGCTACAGAAGGTAGACACTGACTAAGGAAGCCGACATGAAACTTTAATAAGGTGAGCGGGTGAAGGCTTGGCGATGGAAGGATCAAAGATTGACCCCTGTAGCACATCAAGCGCCTCGTTTTGAGTGATGTGTATTACTAGTATTGGCTTGATTAACCCAGGCACAAAGGGACTGGGCGTACTCCCAGTTGAATTCTCTCAGAAATCCATCAGTCTGGATATGATTGTCAAAAACAATGGCCTCATTCATATACACCTGAATCAGAGAGTGTGTGGTGATGTTGCTGTCTTGAGCCTCCAAATTGAGTGGAAAACAAGCTCATGTCTAGAAGTGTGATGACGAAAGTGTCCCGCGCTAAGTGGGAAAGGTCTCCACTAAAGGCTCCTCGTCATCCCTCATCGCATGTTTGGCTTTCCTTCTGTGTTCCTTCATCAATCTCATTTCAACGAGATCACAAAGAAGCTTTGGATCGATCAGGGGAGGTTTGCCCCTTTCGATTATTTCTCTCATTGACTTGCTTTTCTCAATCTTTCTTGCGCCCCCAGCATCATTCACTTCTTGTGCTGTCTTCACCACGCTAGACCCGTCACGAGCCGAACGATTCGACCCCTCAGTAACTAGGTATAGCTTGTCAAACCTCCCGGACCGTTTCGATCGAGCTAGTCAATACACAAGACGAATACGATCGATCACTATATAGTAATCATCTGGAGAGAACAAAGCACAGTTGTTATTCATTCAGCATCATGGTGTCCGTCGACGAAGCTATTGAAAGGCTCAAGGAGTCTCGGCCCCCCGCCACAGACGCCTTGACATACCTCACCATAGTCGAAACGAATCTATCCCCCGAAGTTCTTCCAACTCTAGAGGAGATACTCGAAGATGCTGAGCTTACACGCGATATTGGCTGGGACCTCGTGGAGATGCTAATCTCCGTCCCTGGTAGCCAAGGTTGCCTCGAGACCGTTGCCCGCCTTGGGAACCCCCGCGAGGTCATTATCAAGGTGCTTGAAGTGCTTGACTCCAAAGCCGAATCTTCTGAGGCCGGGGATGCCTCTGCGAGCGCAAGTTTCATCACTCTGGTTGGCATGCTGGGCATCCTCCATAGAAGACTGCAGGTCAAGGCGCCATCACGGTTCCTACATACGACACTGCAGACCGTTTACCGGGCATACAACCCCCAGGGTGCCGAAACTACAGCCGCGGTTATTGATCTCGCTCGGTCTCTTTCTGGCAGAAAGCGACCACCGCTGCCCACTCGCCAGTCCAGCACCAAGCTCGAAACACCGTTTCAAGACAGCGACATCTCCAAGAGCGCACCCGATCCTGAGGCTGATGCAGGTCAGGCCGCCGAGGGTGAGGATGAACTAGTATCGCGCCTCTTACAGTCTTTTGTTACGAGTATCCTCGAAGCATATGTCAACTCAAATATGCTTGAGTGGGCGGCACGGCACTTGGAGTATTACAATCCGGAGAGGATCGTGCCGGGGAAACCTACTATGTTGCAAGCTTTCAAGCAGGTCGACGAGCTCCAAGCTAAGGATGCTTTGGTTGGACAGTTGGTTGTAAGTGGCAACCCCCAATGGGAAGATCTTGGTACTAATGTTCTTTCAGTCTGTAGCTCGCGATCTGGGCCTAGCGAAGCTACCGTCAGCTGAGGTCAAGAAGGCCTTGCAGTCACCTTTTGCAGTGAATCCACTTGAAGTCGAGCCTGATCCTAAGAATCCCGAGGGCATCAAACTCTCAACTGGTGGATTTCTTTGCTTGACTGCTTATCGCATGTTTGCTTCAGATATCTTTGATGCCGACTACGAACAACCTGACGCTTACATTTTTCCTGAGCATCACAATTTGCTCAAACGATTCCTCGGAGATGACCCTCAGACGCAGATAGAGAGCAACCCTGGGACCGTCGAGGCCTTGTTAGTCATTGCACTATGGCTCCACGACCAGAAGCGCATTATTGGACCTAAAGGGACCGACGACAAGGACGTAACCTTTATGTCATACCATCATTTACTTACGCTCATTTCCGTCTTCCATCCATCATTGCGGGTACGGAATGCAGCGACTGTGCTGGCGGGTCACATCCTTCACGAAGATCCCCACGAGGAAGACAGATTGGGTATTTTGGAAGACTTGTTGGAAAACTGCATGTTCTCGTCACTGAAAGCATGCGCAGTGACATGGCTACGCGAAGAGATCATTGCCTCCCGCAAGGCTGGCTCAACGGGCCGCTTTGCCGATCCAGACTGCCTGGACACACTTCAGTATACCCTTTTTGAGGACCTCGAGTCCCTCGCCGAGACAGATTTGGAGGCCTTGTGGGAGTTTTGGGTCCAGTTCGCACCCTTTCACCTCCAGGTTGCCAACTTCGCTCTGTTCTTGTTTGGTGGTCAAGATTTCAAGCACTTGGTTCCTGCTGGAATGGCCTCAGCAGTTGAGCATCGATACGCAAGTCCCTTACTGGCAGCCTCCAAGCGCCTGAGAGAGGCAATAGAAAAGAAGGAGATTGATGGACAAGGGCAAGAAGAAGAGGTTTCGATGCAGCTTGGCATCCTAACAGATACCCTGGAGCGTGTCCCATTGCAGTAGAGCTTGATGACTATGGATTATAGGGGCGTTGCAGCTGAGGTCGGGTCTACTGGAGTACGGCATTTGTAAATACGTAGTACATGGCGATGTATGTAGTTTTTTCTGGTCAAGAGACGTAAATATGTCATTATTTACATTGCGCACTTCGTTTCGCTATGACCAGCCTCGGCATATTCTTCATGTCTGGGTTTTTTGGGGTTGTGACTCAGAAACTCAGTTGATATAAATCCATATAAATACAGTTATCTTAGTATGGTAAAGTAAAGATCACCTGTTCTCTTCAGTTCAATTCTACAAGGTCTTACAAGATATCTTGGGTTTCAGAAATGTAGTTATAGGGTAGTGCAAAATAGGCTAAGCTGCCCGGAGCATATAGTCCGTCTAAGCCAAGCCACGACTCAGGTCAACGATGCACAAGCAGATTAGCCTTGTTTCTGGCCCATGTTGCTACTGAGTGAGGGTCTTTAGTTCTGCCGCCACGGGATGTAGGTAGGTGCTCTGTAGTCGGATGACGATGGTCAATTGCTGGTTCAGGTTATTGGGTAGGTGAACATGCCACTACTGGTTGAGTTTATTAGAACCGGAAAGATAAGTTACAGCATTGGTTGCTGTACGCCCAGATCGAGATGTGTAAGCCATTGACTCGCTAGAGCCACACGACCAAGAGAGGCTGGCTGGTTGGCGATTCATACCTGGTTGGGTGCCAGAGCACGCAGACAAGACTTTGTTATTACCGTACCCAGCTAAGCACCTTACCTGTAGACACCTACTTGACGATGCGATTGATGCGATGCGATGCAACGCATAAGCATAAATGCAGCCCTTTTGAAGCTTGAAACGCGGCATCTGTCCCGAGAGGACTAAATTAGCGGTGCATCATCGACGATTCTTCGCCTGTTCCTTGTTCTGAATGAGACCTCGTGTGACCCCATCAATTCTTTTAGCCTTAGTCCTGCGGAGCAAAAGCAGCTAAAAGGCCTAAAACCGCCGAACGCCAAGGGGTTCCGCTGTGGATAACACGGCAAGTGACATCATTGTATCCTTCTCAACCAGAATTTGGGGAAGGAGCATTGACATTGGACATCAAAGAGGCCCATAAGGTGAGGTAAGGTCACCTCGTGACGACGGGAGACGCCTCAGTTCATGGAACGGGACGGCTCGGAAATTTGTTCATGACACTTCGCGCTGCCTTGGCCCTGATCATAGATTCTTCATTTCTTTCTTTCTTTTACCCTTTCACCCTTTTTTACACTGCATGCCTGTACATCATGGGCTGTTATTCGCGACTCCGGTAGCAACTAACATACCGTACCGCCAAGTTTGCGAACAACGACGCACTACTCTACGTTTCTGTGACACGATAGCGACGCCAGTTCGTCACAGCAGACTTCGCGATATACCGTTCAATTGTCCCTATTCAAACAACTTTTCCTCTGGCACAACTCAAGAAATACATCACAAAACCTTTGAAAGACGGGAGGAACTGCCCATACAGCGCCATGGATTCTCAACAACAAGACCCCAACAGGCTCAAACTTGAAGTATCAGAGCAACACCATCGCAATGACGATGGGCAGCAATCTACAACACTAATCACAGATACACATGGGGATGTCGCCTACCCTGCTCCTATCCCACCCCCAGTACAGTCCCCCGAAAGCCCCAAGTCGCCGCGAAGCCCACAGGACAACATCGACCCTGGCGACGGTGTTCAACAAACACAAGTCAAATCGGAGCCTGCACATCTGCCATCCGCAAACGATTCAGTCTCACCTAAGAAGTCACCAGCCCAAAAGAGTCGACCAAGACCGACCAAGTCCTGGCAGACTGAGCAACCACGGCGGGATCATCACCACCGTTCCTACTTTCGTCCCGGCCCAGCCAGAGCTGGCACATCATATTTGAACAAGGCGATCTGGGAAGCACCAGAGGACCCGAGGCTCAGCTCAAGTGATAGTTCGGTAGCATCAGCTGGCGAGGATGAACTCCAAACCAGCCAGCAGGAATCCCATTATAGTGAGCACAAGAAGAAAGCAGGCGAAAAAGCAGGCGGGAAGGCGAGCCATGATGACGATAAATACGGCCATTTCAACATTGGTAATCAGAACTACCAAACATCCGGCAAGGTCAAAAAGGATGGTCGCTTGCGCATCACGGTCAACGAGACTGCAGGCACTGGATACTTAACTAAGGCTTTGGGTGCAGCTGTCAACAAGGTCGCTCCCGCAAAGGCCGAACAGGCGGACAAGGTGTCAACTCTCAAAATTCCCGAAAGCCCACGCCGGTCATCTTCTTCGACAGCTGTTGCGGATCCCAGACCTCAAGCACGCTTAAACATTGTGATCATGGTCATTGGCTCACGAGGAGATGCCCAACCCTTCTTGAAGATAGGCAAGGTTTTGAAAGAGGATTATGGGCACCGAGTACGCATCGCTACACACCCAGCGTTTCGCGAATTTGTCGAAAAAGATTCTGGTCTTGAGTTCTTCTCTGTTGGGGGTGATCCATCAGAGCTCATGGCTTTTATGGTCAAGAATCCAGATCTGATCCCAACACTTGAGACAGTCAAGGCTGGAGATATTGGGAGACGGCGAGCCGCAATGGCCACCATGTTTGATGGTTTCTGGCGAGCATGTATCAATGCCACAGACGACGAATCGGACCGCCAGAACCTAAAGATGATGGGAGAAAAGGACCCCTTTGTCGCGGACGTCATTATTGCCAATCCTCCAAGCTTTGCACATATTCACTGCGCCGAAGCACTTGGGATTCCTGTTCATTTAATGTTCACCTTTCCTTACACACCTACACAAGCTTTCCCTCATCCCTTGGCAAGCATCAAGAATTCCAATGTGGACCCTGGATATACAAACTTCATCTCTTATCCCCTAGTCGAGATGATGGTATGGCAAGGTCTGGGAGATCTGGTCAACGAATTTCGTGTCAAGACTTTAGCTCTAGATCCTGTCTCGACCCTCTGGGCTCCAGGTGCAACATATCGCCTGCATGTGCCATTCACATACTTGTGGTCACCGGGTCTTGTCCCGAAGCCACAAGACTGGGGAAGCGAGGTTGACGTGGCTGGCTTCGTATTTCTTGACTTGGCTTCGACCTTTGAGCCACCGAAGGAACTGGAGGAATTTCTAGCAGCTGGGGAGACTCCAATCTATATTGGATTTGGATCGATTGTTGTTGATGATGCAGACAAATTCACACAAATGATCTTCAAAGCTGTCGAGCTGGCTGGAGTTCGTGCCCTGGTATCTAAGGGCTGGGGTGGACTTGGTGGTGACGATGTTCCAGAGAATATCTTCATGCTCGACAACACCCCTCACGACTGGCTTTTCCCGAGAGTCAAAGCATGCGTCATTCACGGAGGCGCCGGAACAACAGCCATTGCGCTCAAATGTGGCAAGCCTACAATGATCGTTCCCTTCTTCGGCGACCAAAACTTTTGGGGTAAGATGGTGAGCAACGCAAATGTTGGACCGGAGCCAGTGCCATACAAGCACCTGAATGCCGAAAAGCTTGCTGAAGGCATCGAATTTTGTCTTACTGACAAGGCAAGGGATGCTGCTGGAGCAATCGCCAAACGAATCGCAGAGGAGGGCGATGGCGCTGTTAATGCCGTCAAAGAGTTTCACAGGCAGCTGAACTTAAGAAGCCCGAGTCTCTTGCGATGCTCCCTCCTCAAAGATCACACAGCCGTTTGGGAGTTGAAAAACACCAATATTAAACTGGGTGCATTGGCTGCCGACATCTTAGTGGACAACGGCTTGTTGACCTGGAAGCGCCTGAGACTTCTCAGGCATGTGGAATGGAATGACTTTGAAGGCCCCGGGGAACCTGTCACAGGAATTGCCGGATCCATAGCTAGCACAGTCGGTGAAGCATTTCACGGCGTTGCAAGCGTTCCTTATCATTGGGCAAAAAGAACAAGAACGATCAGCAAGAAGAAGAATCAGAGGAATGCTAGGAAATCTAAGAAGTCGGGCAACAACATAACACGACACAATCCGGCGGACTCTGATGACCCAGTGGATGCTGCCTCGTTGCACACTGAGACGACAGCTGGGGACACCGGAGGTCAGTACGTGGGCGACATAGCGAGCGGTGTGGAAAGGACAGCTACTGCCATCGCCAAAGCGCCCGTGGACCTCTCGATGGCACTCGCACAAGGTTTTCACAATGCCCCTCGACTCTATGGCGACAATACGGTACGACGTCCCATTCGAGTGACAGGTTTCCATTCTGGCCTCCGGGCGGCCCGGCATGAGTTTGCGTATGGAGTCTACGATGGCTTCACAGGAGTAGTTCGCCTGCCGTTCCGTGGAGCAAAAGAAAATGGACCGATTGGATTCGTCAAGGGCACAGGTATGGGATTGACAGGCTTGGTCCTCAAAAACCTCTCTGCTATTGTTGGCCCGATTGGATACACTCTCAAAGGCGTTGTGAAGCAGGCTGAGCGGTCCAAGACGCCTCAGAAATACATCCGCCGGGCTCGCATTGTCCAAGGGCAGAGGGAGTATAAGGCGCTCCCAGAAGACCAGCGAAAGCAGTTAGAAAAGGAAGTTATGGAGGGATGGCATATAATGGATGAGTTGAGAGAGAAGATCCAGGATTTGGAGAAGCAACGAGGCATAGCGGGACAGATTGATCGAGTTCTCCTTGACACGGAAGTCATTTTCGAAGACGTGGACGTTGCCAAGAGATCTCTGGAAGCGCTCAAACAGGGAAAGGCCCTAGAAGATGTGGTAGACCCAGATCGAGACCGAGGTCGTGATGGAGGAAAATCCGAGCGAAACCGAAGCATGTCGATCCGGAGATCCTTTAATTTGACAAAGAAGTCGAGGGAGGAAAAACGCCTCACATCGCTGGCTGATGCCGAGGAGAGCACAAAGACTGGCAGGGGAGATGAAGGACCTGCTGAGATGGATAGACTGACCGTGCCAGCAAGGTAGTATCGTTTGCTCATGGGGAAGTGCACGGCGTTGGGTTGCTGTGGTCTTTGAACGCATATCTTATACCCAAGGATCTTTGTTTTAGACTATAGTCACACTGTAAGCTTATTGAACTGTATAATTTCGTGATGAAAGCGTCATTCTTACTTGTCTGTAATGTCTGAGTATCTCCTTTGTCCTTCTTCTCCTGCTTCTTGTTTTCTTTTGAGTTGGGATCACTGTTGGTCTACGTAAAAATGCATCTCTGGAAAGAATTGATCCCTTTCCCAGATAGCAAAGGTATTATTGTGTCGTTTTGGTAAGCCGGTAGTAAGCCTTCATAGCGAAGTCGCGACTGGTTGAATTACCGTCGTCGATCGTAGTCCCGATGACTCCGATGCCGGTCGTAGTCTCTGTTCCGGTCACGGTCGCGGTCTCGGTCACGGTCACGGTCACGATGTCCATGCCTGCTGTCTCGATCCCTCTCGCGTTCACGCTCACGCTCACGCTCACGCTTGTAACTGTCCTCATGGGAGCGACCCTCCTTTCGTTTACTCTCCTCTCGACGATACTCGTCCAAGCGTGGTCGTCTGTTCTTCTTTCCGCCCTGATTCCATCCGCCGAGATCCTCTTCCCCTTTGAGCTCCGTACCACCAAGACCGAGTCGGTTCGGACGTCGTTTTACTTCCTTGACTTTATCGCCAGTTTTCCCGTCCCAGCCCATACCGCGGAGAAGAGCTGCGCCGAATTCTTCTACTGGCATGGCTTCATATTCATCAAGCGTAGTCTCTCCTGCCCCTTGGATGTCGTGACGGTGGGCGTCCTCTTCAGTTGGATGGATGATCTTTTTGTCGTCTTCCTTGTTGCCTAGTAGAGCGTCCAATGCTTCGTCATCTGCTGTTCGTCTGGGCGGTGGCTTTTTCAGGTTGTCATCAATGGAGATCGGCTTCTCCTTGGACTCTGATCCAACATCCTTGTTGGCGTCCTCAGCCTTTTCCTTGATCGTCAGACCCCATTTTATTCCCTTGTCCTGATCTGCAGGTTCCGTCTCGATGGTTCTGTTGTTTTGCTGTGCTCTCGCCTCCTCGGGTAGCGAACTTTTGCTCTTCCTCTGGGCTCTGGCCTCTGATCTCCAGTCGTGATTTGGCTGCCTGGCCAAAACATATTCCTTCTTTTCCGTCCTCAAGTCTTTGGCCTTGCGCTCCGTCTCCGCTCCGTCCACCCCAAAGCCTGTGATCTTCTCATGCCGTCCTCGATGCTCATAATCATCATCCTCAGAGTCGGAAGCGCCCCCCAAAGCGTGTGGCCGTGGCCGCTTCCCTAGGGACGAGGATGGATTTGGTTTTGATGCTTTCTTCGAGTTGTTATTGCTCGAAGTAGCGCCGAACTTGATTGCTATGCGCGGAGCCGGAGGTTTGCTCTGCTCGGACATTTTGGCGGATGTTTTTGTTTGAGAATGTGTAAGTTCATTTGAAGAGACGGAATTATTTTTGAAAGACGTCAGCTCGCAGGCACCCTCAACACTGTGGCGCACCATATTTGTGGCGGTGCCCGATCGGCCCCTGGAGTACCTAAGGGAGTAAGAAAACAGCAGACCTTAACGTAGGATGTCAAAATAAGCTTTGCAATAAGTATCCCAATCTGAATAATGGGACGCTGGGATATTTTTGTCTACCAAGAATGGGGTCCTGAGTTTTCTTTCCTCGTAGCCTGTACCTACAATTCTGCATTTTCTCCATACCATGTGTATCATTTGTACCAATGTATACAATAACCCCGTCCAACAGGAAACAGCGTAGATAATTATCATTGAGAATTAGATGTTTCTGGATGAGTGATGTCTTGTATATATAGAAACTTCTTTTGGTTTTAAACTTCTAGGTCTTCAATTCTTCAAGTTTTTTTGAAGGTACTTGTGTTCCACATTGCAAATAGAGTGCCGTATTAGGAGACTTTCCAGGACCTCCTCCTCCGGAACTTGTCGGATAGCCACCTTTTATTCGAAGTCCAAGACCAGTGACTGAATAAGAAGAGGAGGAGAGATTTCAGCCCCGAGTGATCATGTTAACAAGAGAAGAATGATGTGTCAAAGTGTAACTGACTCTAGGTTTGCGCTTCCATTTACACTTGGATTTTTATTATATGAAATAACTGTCATAGACATAATAAAGAGCAGCATGTACGGAGTAGTAGGTTCGTTACGTATAGGACTCGTCACTCACTCTCTCTGGTTTCTGCTAGGTTCTATTCGTACTGTAGTTGGCTCGTAACTGGGTTGGGTTGGTACTGCACACCTCATGTACAAGGGTGCATTACCATTCTATTCCCCTTTCTGTTCACTAGCGTTATGCTCACTAGCGTGTTGGCGCCGCAAGCGTAAGGAAATCTGTTATTAGTCTTATCAATTGATCACGAATCATGGTATTTCCTGGGATAACAAATTGTCTCTCCTCTTTCTAATCTTGGCCTTATCCTAAACCTTGCTCTTCCCTCTCCCACCCACCGCTGGCTCGTCACCCACTATTCGCTGACGCCTGTTTGATTGCCCCCCCTAAGCCCGACGGGACCATTAACCAATATCCCCCTCTCCGACAC